TTCAGATGAAGCTCGTTCTGACACACTGTGCTCACCTTCATCAGAATAGAGCACTACAGCAGCTTCATCACTGCAGGCGCTGATTAAGTTTATTTAAAGCCTTTTGTTGTCCACATTTTTCCTGTGCCATTTATCTATATCACCATGTTACACCCCGACATGATGCAGATAGTTTCAGAGAAGCAAAAAAAAAAGACAAGAGTAAAAAAAAAAAAATTGTTTTTAATTATTGTAGAACAATTTGTGTTTAAACGGGACTTTATTATTCAATCATTCCATTAACTGAATGAATCAGTTAATGAATCAGCTGTTTCACAAACCAATCATAAACAATAACAGGGAATACCTCAAAGACACATTTTTAAATCTTTTTCAATTTAATTATCTGAACTTGGCTTCAGTGGGACTGACATCTGATTGTTAACTCTTTATTTAATAAAACACACACAAAACAAATTCACATGGTAAGTGTAAAATATAAATTACTGCATAAACATTTCTCATTGATAATTAAACATTTCCATCGTCACAGTGGATTCAGTGGCTCCTCCTTGTGGCAGGAAACTGTTACTGCAGAACAAAAACACAGAAACGTTTCGTTTTATTGTTGGGTTTTTATTGAGCTTCAGCAATGAACCTGCAAACGTCAGATGTAACAAACACACCAGAATGATGAATGCTGATGAAGTCTGAAGTCATCAACACCTTCCTTAACATCACACTCAGAGTCAAAACAAAGGTTTGAATCCAGTTTTCAGGACAAAAAACAAGCAATTAAATAAATTGCATTAAAAACAACCAGAAACAGGGAAGAAAAGAAGAAAAAAAAAAGCTACCAGTTTTTCCTAAATTTCCCACAATGCCTCTGGGTTGCTTTCCACACTTCACACCATGGTCAGCTACAATGAAAAAGACCAGGGTCACATGACTGCTGCGATGACCTTCAGACATCACAGGTACCCCGAGCAGAGACCCTCACCATTCAGACTGTAACAGCGCAGCGATACACAAACACACGGCACATCAGAGCTGATCGATTAACTGATTGGGTGACTGATAGACAGTTTATGTGCGGTCGCAGCTTCTTTGATGGTTTCTACAAGAGAAACACTGTAGCGCCACCTGTGGTCACACCAGAGCAAGCAGTAGTTACACTTAAATGATTCTGGTCACTTAACCACGATGTTTTTTTTTGATTAAGTTGGTATAAAGGAAAAGATCCTGGACTTTGGTTCAGTCTGTCCTGACTTAAAACTGTATGATAAACAGGCTTAAACTTGAGCTGAAGCAAAGAAACTAAAAACACTGGATGTTTCCAAGGCTGTGAAACCCTGACAAATACCTCCATGACACAACAACTAAGCCAAGGAACAAAACAAATTATGAAAACAAAACACTGAACACAACTGATTGGTTTTCATCAGATGACTGACAGGCAGAATTATTCATATTAAAACTTAACACAAACTAATCTGAAAATGACTTAAAGCCAACAAGTTGGCTGAACGTTGTAGTGCCTAGAGTCTTTGTGTAATTAAACAGACAGTTAACTCCACATGTTGATGAAGAAGACTCTAAACCACTGATCTGTTATCATCTGTTATCACTGAAAAGAGAAAAAAAATGAAACAAAAAACTGATACAAGAAGGCTGTTAATCTTAACATTTTGTTAAGATCTCTACTATGACACTGCAACAATTAAACCAGATAATAAATAAACCTGAAATGTTGACAGATAAAATCTGAGGTATGAAAGTTGGGAGTAAATCTTTGACTATGGAAGCAAAACAACTTTGATGCATTGGCTTGTGCAAGAAAACTCAAACTATGATTTGAGGACTGAACCCTGAAAATCAAGCGAGTAAACTGTTGCTCAGTCAACTAATCGGTTAATCAGCTCTTTGTGCGACCTGGGAAGACTTGCACACATCTGCGTTGCAGCTTTTTTGATCTCTCGTCACTTCATAAACATAAAATATGCCGGTAAACAAGATGAAGCTTAAAGGGAGCTTCGGGTTGTTTTGACCCATCTGCATCCGAAACAATATATATAAATATATAAAACACAGCAGATCTTTAATAACAGTATTATATAGCAAATGATAGAAGACGCAGGCAATAAATCTGACATTTTACTGACTATTCTCAGCACTGATTGTAATAAAGTCATGCTTTTGTTGGATTGTAAATGGTAAATGGCCTGTATTTATATAGCGCTTTACTAGTCCCTAAGGACCCCAAAGCGCTTTACACATCCAGTCATCCACCCATTCACACACTTGTGTGGATTGTGTTGGATGTTTTGCTGTTTTTAGTAAACAGACTATTTTTGACAGTTTTGGGGGGGTTGGGGAGGCAACTGGAACATTTCTTTTGAATATTTTGTTGTCAAAAACATAAATAAACTTCACTTTGTTTTTTTTAATCAATAATAAATAACAGCCTAGTTGTAAGTGCTTATTTTCCTTCAACAGTAATTTCTTCAAATAAAAACAGAGAAAAACAAACTGCATAATGTACAATGACCTCCTTTAGAAGCTGCTAATCTTCTGCAGAGATCCATGCCATCAGATTTAGTAAGTCTTAAATTTGCTGGAGCTCCTCCATTGGTAATAAATAATAATAATAACGATTATTAATAATACTACTACTAATAATAATCATAACTGTGACAGCTCCATGTGGTGGCCGATTGTTCTCACATGTATCACATATCTGATACTTAATTAATACATTAAGTATTACATTAATTTGATGTTGAATGTCTTTGGATCAAACGGATGCTTTTTACGTCAGTAATACAAAGACACACATGCAAGGAGAATCACTGAAATGAACACAACCTAAAAAAAAAAAAACAACAACCAAAAACCTTCACAATCCCGGTCTGTGGCAAACATCAGTCTCTATATGGCGTCACTGTGAAACATCCAGGTAGATTAAAGCCTGTTAAATCTGCCTGACAGTGTGACTTCCTGTTTTATTCATAGATGATAGAGAGCACTTCCCTCCTGGCGATCGACAAAGAACGTAAACAATGTAAATCAGCTTTATAAAGGTGTTTTCTGTGGAAGAATTCCAATTTGATCAATATGACTAATATTGGCCCATCACAGAAGTATCTGAGTACAATTATAACGAAACACACACTGAAACTTTAGACGTTAAAGGTCCGGCAGCAATCTCGGAAAGCCGAACAACTTTATTTTTCTGTTTATGACAGTAATCTGGGTCGTATCGATGTTGTTCGAATACTTTTCTTCTTCTTCTGCTGTAATGTCCTTTTTTGGTCTCGGGCATCAAAAGAGCTTCAATAGGGGTAAATAATGACTGGTTTTAAAACCTCGTCAGCTCTCCATAGAACTTTTTTTTTTTTAATTTAAATGGTGGCGCTCAAAGGTCAAATACACTGCAACATAAGAAAACATTAACAAATGGAACAAGTACACAAAACAGAAAGGAAATTGAAGAAAACACTGCTAAAAAATAACTTTTTGTGAGTTTTTTTTTCTTTTTCTTTTATTGTACTTTGTGTGTTTTTGGAGTACTTTTCTACTTGCAGCTGTTTGACCTTTCAGGGCCACACTCAGTTTTGAAATCATTGAATTTGGAGGCTGACCTGACTCAGCGGACGGATATCAGCCAGGAGACTGGTTCATCAGTTTTTCAGGCATTAACCAATATTGGCCAATATGGATACTTACAGATTTTGGAGGTTATTTCTTTGTTTTCCAGTAACACAGCATGAAGTTAGCACTGAAAAGCAATGAAAACACCATCTGACTCCAATCAGATCTAAACAGGACCACACCGATATCTCTGGTGTCATGACACAGCGTGTCCAGCAGGGCAGATGACTTGATGAGCAAGACTAAGCTAAACGACTATCTTTATAACTGTCAACATACATGGAATAACATGACAGTCTGTCTTTAGGAGACTGTTTATAAACTGATCAATTTAACGTTGATGTCATGAACATTAGTGCAGCGAGTTCATTCATGTTTGTTTTGGAGGGCTGAAAACAGGTGGAGGTGGATGCAGCGGGTGAGTCAGAGTGTAACAGTCGCAGGTGGTTTCGAGCTGAGGTTTAGTTTTTACATTTTTCTGTCACCTGATTGGAGGATGAGTTACATCAGCACACTGAACAGACTAATAAGAAATGCCTCAGGGCAGAAGAGGCATTTTTCAGTCGTCTGAGCTGAAGGATGAAATGTTAAGACGATAGCTGTATATAATGACGATAGATGTATGGATGTCAATAATTCAAAGCAGCTCCATCATACTTTTACCAGGTTTAGAGCAAATATGGAAAAGAAGGGTTTTACTTTGTTATTTTTAAGGTATAATCTAGTTTTTGATTAAAGCTAAACCCAACTTTAACTCAAGTCTGTGCCTACTTTCAAGAGAAGAAAAGCACAAACAGAGCAGGACAGAGGAGAGTCAGGTGCTGCAGGGAGGAGGTTACCGCTGCACCCCGAGGCAAAGCAGTCACAGGAGGCAAAGGACGTGGAGTGGTTATTTTAACGGCAGGCTTCTCTGCAACACAAAACAGATAAACATCAGTTTAATCAGAGCTGAACGTGTAAAAAAACACTTTTTTCTTTTTAAGGGAGGAAGCCGCTGTTGGCCTAAAAATAGAGATGCTTTCTGTTACTTTTTTTTAATTTTTAAGTTGCCCTTTTTTAGTTTTGGCTTTTTTAGTTTTGTTGGAAGTAGCGCAATCTTTGTTTTATGCTGTCAAATCAGCCCAAAGTCAAATCCGCACGAGGCACACCTTAGTGGTTCAGTAAATTAGCTGTTCATTTTAGTCAGTGTTTGAGCTCTAGAAGGTCTGTTTCCTCTTTTATCCTCTCTGTTTTAACACTACTGCAGCTTTGTAGGTGATGTAATGGTAAATGGCCTGTATTTGTATATCGCTTTACTTTGTCCCTATGGACCCCAAAGCACTTTACACTACATTCAGTCATCCACCCATTCACACACACACACACATTCACACACTGGTGATGGCAAGCTACATGTATGCTGTATGTTGCTTCTAAAAACACACCTGACAGTTGAATACTGAAATATTGTGGGCAGATCAGAAACA